GGGAGGGAGAGAGAGACGGAGAGAGACAGAGAGATGGACAGAGAGAGACAGAGAGAGGGACAGAGAGAGAGACAGGGAGACGGACAGAGAGATGGACAGAGAGACAGAGAAAGAGATAGAGAGATGGACAGAGAGACAGAGAGAGGGACAGAGAGAGAGGTAGAGAGATGGACAGAGAGACAGAGAGAGGGACAGAGAGAGAGAAATATCGATGTGTGAGACACATTGATTGGTTGCCTCCCGCTCTCGGGATCGAACCTGCGGCCCAGGTCGTGCCCTTGACTGGGAATTGAACCTGTGACCCTTCAGTGTGCGGGGCGATGCTCTAACCATTGAGCCACCGGCCAGGGCTGCTGTCTGGATTTTTAAATAACTTGTAGTTACTCCTTTTGTTATACCCTGGAAACGCATTTAAGATGTGTCGAGTTCCTCCGTGGCCCCTGGACCAGCATGGCCCCCAGCCCAGCGAGCCCAGCGGGGCCAGCAGCGCCCTTGCCCCCCTTCCTGGAGGCTGGCCCTTGCCCTTTGGTTGGTCCTGGCTTGAGCCGTGTGTGCGATGTCTGTCTCCCCCTGGAGGATGGCCTGGCCTCCCTTGCTCAGGCTGGGTGGGGCTGAACCTGGTGGGGCTCTGGTGTAGGTGGCAGAGGCGTAAAGCAGGCCTCCCTGCTAATAATAATATCACTCCCCACTGGGAGGGGAGGTCCCAGTGGGCAACCATGGGCTCTGTCTTCTGCCATCCATGCACGACTCAGAGAAGTCACACCACTGACCCCAGACCACACAGCTGGGTCAGGGGGAGCCAGGAGCCAAACCCAGCTTGAGCATTCCCCCCAAATCATGTGAGGTTCCCCTCGACTAAGACCCCAGCCTGCCCAGCAACCCGAAGGCCTCTTTGCCATCTACTGAGTCAGGTCAAGACAAGTGTGAGCAGCTGACTCTGCCCTAGGTCCATCCATCTGTCTGTCACCTATCATCTAACCATTCATCCATCTATTGACCCATCTACCCACCCACTCGCCCATCCACACACCTACCCACTCATCCACTCTCCCATTTATTTACCCCCCCACTCATCCATCCACCCACCCATTCGCCATCTATCCATCCATCTACCCACCCACCCACTGACCCACCCATCCATTCACTGACTTGTTTTCATGCATTTATTCACTGAACCTCCCCAGGGTGCCTGCCTTGTGCCGGGTGCTGCGGGCTCAGAGACAAACCTGCTGCGACTCTGCCTGCCAGAGTTCATGGCGGGGCGGGGAGACGTTGAGACCTGCACAGAGCAGCCTGCGCAGAGAGGTGGCATGTTTTCTGTTTCTGCTGTGAGAAGGGGAAAGTTTGGGCATGTTTGTTTGGGAGACAAAGGGCAGGTGAAACTTGGCTGCAGTGACAGAGAAAACATCCTGTCTCAAATGTCACCTCTTGGGCTGCCTTTTCTAATAGCCGCCCCCCCAGCCCAATGCTCCCTGTCCCCTCTTTACTCTATGTCTCTCCTTGGTCCTTACCACCACCTGGCAGGCTCTGTGTTTTCATTTATTGTGTTGGTGTCTGTCTCCCCACCTAGAACAGAGGACCCACAGGGCAGGAACATCAGTCTGTTTACTGCTGTGGCCCGGTGTCTGGAACTTGGCATGTAGTAGGCATACAGCGTTTGTTGCATGAGGGGAGGGCATGGGCAAGACCAGACTGCTGTCCAGGGGGGAGATGATACAAGCGGGGGCTGTGCAGACGGATAGTGAAAGTGGATCTGAACATGAACTTCAGAGGTCTGACCGCAGGACTGGGTGCCTCACAGGGGGAAAGGCATCCAGGGTAATTTCTGGCTTCCTGGCTCAGGTGCCAGGGGGTGAGTGGCACTTAGCACATTAGACGCTCTGCAGGAAATATGGGACTAAACTGTTCCCCTTTCTTTCAGTTAGACAACATTCTTCAAGCTCCCTCATCACGCAAGGTCCTGGCCTTCCAAGTATAGCATCTGAAATTGAACCCAAGCCCCAGCTGTATTTGCCCTGCTCATAACAGTCCTGTCACCTCCTTTTTTCTAGAACCTATTCTCCTGTTAATGCAGCCTTTGCATTTGCCTGGCCACTTTCACAGGGACGTGCCTGGATCTTGCTCTGAGTGGTCACACATGTGAGGCAGGTACTATCCTTCCGTGGATGCAGAAGTGGAGGCACAGAATGGTCAAGGGGCTTGCCCAGGGTTTCAGAGCTGACATGAGTGGCAGAGCTGGGCTTTGAACACAGGCAGCTTGGCTCCTAACCAGACTGAGCTGTTTCTCTCTAAAGTCCAGGAATGGCATTAAGACTGGCCTTGGACGGGCCACATCCTGCCCTTTGCCCTCTGCCGTGGCAGCTGCCGCTGGCAACTTGTGTCCCCACTCACAAACTGCTGGGCAGGTGCCAGTGAGGCTGCCCTCTGTCAGCTCTCAGCCTGTTCAGGGCCCGCGTGCAAGTTCACCCACCAGGACACATGGCCCTGCCCAGGGGCTACCCTGACAGGGCGGCCTGGATTCTGGTCAGGGTACCCTTGGGCAAGTTCATGGCTTCTCTGAGCCTCAGGTTCCTTGCAGCTGCAGTGGTTTCGAGTGATGAGCAGACAGAAGCAGCCTCTTGTTGGAGCAGCTCTTTCATGAATGTTCTGGTTGGTTAGAGGCCAAACTGCCAGTCCCAGAGGTGGGCCCGGCAGGACGTGGTCCCCTCACTCAGCGAGCTCTGTTCAGTGCTGGATCTGTGCCGGGTGCTGGGGACTCAGTGGAGGCAGACTTGGCCAGGGCCCCGGAGGCAGGAGAGACAGATACGGGCATAGCAGGGACAGTGTGGGACCAGGGCGGTGTGAAGGGCGTGGGACCAACAGTGAGCCGTGACTGGTGTTCGTGCTGCGCCCAGGAGGACTCTGGCCAGCCTCCTCAGTGCCAGGCACCAGTGGCCCATTGTCCCCACCCCTTCCCTGCCAACTGGACTCTTTGAGGACGGCCTGGGCCTCAGTGCAGCCTCAGCTCAGAGAGTGTTTGTTGAATGAATAAGTGAGGGGGTTTTGAGGGTTTTCCAGGCAGGAACAATTCCAGGGGAGTCAGGGAGGCCCAAGACACAAGTGAGGCCTGAACTGGGGCTTGGAGGGGCAGGGACATCACAGCCCTGTCCCTGGACCTTCCAGGAGGTGTCTGGACGTGGTCTGGGCCCAGGCCCGCAGCGGTATGGACAGTGGTCCTGTTTCCCGAGAGCCCAAAAGCTCTGGTGGACTCTCTCTACTTCCCCACAGCTGGGTCCTGAGGCCACTTGGACAAGGGGCCTTTGGGGGTGGCTGGGCGGGAGTCCAGGTGGGCATCGACCTGCCTGTTTCCCAGCGCGACCTCTGCCTTCTGGGCCACTGGCCAGCAGGCTCCTGCTTCCTGTCCCCTGCCCCCACCACAGGTATTTAAGGTCTGGGAGGAGCTGACCTGGGGGTGGTGGCATCAGACTGCTCTCAGGCAGGGGAACCCCAGGGCCTTCCCCGCCACCCGCATCGCCCATGGATTTTGTTGCTGGAGCCATCGGAGGTAACAGACAGGGACAGCAGGGCCTCGTAGGGGACTGCTGCTCCTGGGGTACCAGGAGGAGCTGGGGTGCTCTGCCTTGTGGGGTGGCCTCTGGCAGACGTGGGGTTTGAGGAGCCACTCCAGAAGTGGCTGGGTCCTCGGCCTGCCCACGGGTGCTGGGTGCCGGGAAGACAGAGCTGGTTCCTGGGGGTCTCGGGCGGCTGCGCACGGCGGGGTGCAGGTGGAGGGGGGTGAGTCTGCACTGGCCTGGGCGCCTCAGCTGGGAAGGCTGAGGGGCAGTTTCGGGGATGGAGGGTGGCCCAGGGGGCAGAGGGTGGTCTCTGCCTGGGGCAGGCGGAGGCGGGGAGTGATCAGCACAGAGGGCCGGCGAGCCGTGGACAGGACAAGAGGCTCCGGGAGAGGGTGGACGGTGAGGACAACAGACCAGGAAGCCGTGGGCAGAGGAGGGGGGGCCCCAGC